GGTGCCAGTTGAACCTTAGGAGAACTTTCCCCTCTTTTTCCTTTCTGGTTTGGAGGTGGGGTTCATAGTGGGTAGACTCTCAGTCTCCTTCCCAGTTTTTCCTAAGACCAAACTTGGACAGTCAAAGGAAGGAGTGAGTTGTGAGGTTTTCAGAAACCATGGCACTCTGGTTGAAACAAAAACATTTCCTACATTCTTAAATCCCAGAATGAATGTTTATTGAAGAGGAAGAAGGAGTGAGCTTGCACCACAGTTCTGAATATCATCTCTAAACCTTTTTGATCCATGTATTACAAAATTTTTTTTTTATTGTAGTTCTCCCAGGAGGAACTGCAGCTTAGAAATCTAGGCTTACAGAATTCATTGTTTTTTAGTTCATGCTGGGAGATGTGAAATTTGGGTTTCCCTGTACCCCTGGGATGTGGGTCAGAAGATTTGAGTTCCAGCTGTCCACTTGCAAGCAGGATGACTGTGGCCAATCATGCCAGCCCCCTCCCCATCCCCACTTTATCCCTTGTGGTGGGCATGACACTGACCCGTCAGATTGTTGTGTGACCTAAATAAGACCAAGCGTGAGAGAGAACACTAAAATCGTGTGACAGTCTTATCTAAAGGCCAATGCATCTCGCCTCTCTTTCCTTTCAATGTGAAGTTTATCTACTTGGAAAAGTAAAAATTGCTTTTTGCTACAGATGCTCTTTTCTTCTTTGAGTTGGTGGAAAGCTTAGAACCAGATTTGTAGGGCACCTTTAGCAAGGACTTCATGACCCTCGTTTTGTATGATAGCCTTTTTCTCCCCATCTGTTTCTGCGGTTTCTCTTTGTTCTTCTTCCTAATTTGTGCGTCTGGCTGTATATATATGTGCCATGACATAGAAGCCTCTTAAATACTTTTTGGAACAAGTTATTAGATGAAGAACCAATCAAACACACAAATATGGTGCACCAATTGTGTATCAATTTCATTTAGTTCTGCTCTGATCTTTGTTATTTATTTTCTTCTGCTGGGTTTGGGGCTGGTTTGCTCATCTTTTTCTAGTTCTTTGAAATGATTCATTTGATTGTTGATTGTGATCTTTCTGTCTTTTGGATGTAGGCATTTACGAATATAAATTTTCCTCTCAGGACTGCTTTAGCTCTGTCCCACAGATTTTGATAACATGTGTCTCCTTTACCATTTAGTTCAAAGATTCTTTTGATTTCCATCTTAATTTCCTCCTTAATGTGATAATCGTTCAGCAGAAAGTTGTTTAGTTTTCATAACTTTGTGTAGAGATGAGAGTTTCTGTTGTACTTGATTTCTAATTTTATTCCCCTGTGGTCTGAGAAGATGCCTGGTATAATTTCTATTTTTTAAGTTTGTTGAGACATGTTTTGTGGCCTCAGATATGATCAATCTTAGAGAATGTCTCATTAGCTGATGAGAAAAATGTATATTCAGTGGTTTTTGGGTAGAATGTTCTATAAATGTCTATCAGTCCCATTTGTTCTACAGTTCTGTTTAAGTCCATTGTTTCCTTGTTTATTTTCTGTTTGAAGGGTCTGTCCTGTTCTCTCAGAGGGGAGTTGAGGTCTATGGCTATTACGGTGTTGCTGTTTATCATTTTGTTTAGATCAAGTAGGATTTACTTTATTAATCTAGGTGCACTTGAAATAGGTACATAAATATTTAGAATTGTTATATATTCTTGTTGAATTGTACCCTTCACCATTATATAGTGACCTTCTTTGTCTGTCATTACTGTTGTTTATTTGAAGACTAAGTTATCTGAAATCAGAACTGCTAGGCCATCTTTCTTTCAGTTTCTATTTGCATGGAATATTGTTTTCCAGCCCTCCACCTTGAGTCTGAATGAATCCTTGTGGGTTAGATGTGTTTCCTGGAGACAGCAGATGCTTGGCTTGTGTATATTTATCCATTTGGTCATCGGGTATCTCTTTAGTGGGCAGTTCAAGCCATTCACATTTATTGAAAGGATTGATAAGTGGGACAGTTCTGTTCATCCTGTTAAGTTATACTTTGTTGCTTTATCTTCTGTCTTGATCCATTGTGTTATCTGGCCTTTGACCTTTAGTTTTTGGATGATCTTACACTAGTGAGTGTCTGTTGTGCTGATTCATGTGTAATGCTGTTCTGAGTACTTCCTGGATGACAGGTCTTGTATTGATGAATTCCCTCAGTCTTTGCTTGTCTGAGAAGATCTTTATTTCTCCTTCATATAAGAAACTTAGTTTTTCAGGATACAAAATTCTAGGCTGGGAATTATTTTGTTTGAGAAGACTGAGAATGGGTTCTTAGTCTCTTCCTGGTTGTAAGGTCTCAGTTGAGAAGTCTGAAGTTAGTTGATGGGTTTTCCTTTGTAGGTTACCTGTTTCTTTCACCTTACAGTTCATAGGAGGGCTGCTTTTATGTTTATTTTGGTTAGTCTGGTGACTATATGTCATAGTGTCTTCCTCTTTGCAATGAATCTTCCAGGAGTCCTTTGAGATTCTTGTACCTGGATGTCTAGATTTCTAGCAAGGCCAGAGAAATTTTCTTTATTGTATCCTTAAATACTTTATCCAACCCTTGTGTATTTTCTTCTTCACTCTCAGGGATGTCTATGATTCTTATATTAGGCCTCTTTACATAATCCCACATTTCCTGTAGGCTTCCCTCTTTTCTATTATTTTTCTGCTTTATCCCTGCAACTGACTTGTTTAATTGAAAGGTGTTGTCTTCAATCCCTGAGATTCTTTCTTCTATTTGATCTATTCTATTCTTAAGGATTTACACTGTGTTTTGTAATTCCTTGAATACATTCTTTGTTTCCAGAAGTTCTGTTTTATTTTCCTCTATTATTTCAATTTCTTTAGTGAATTTGTCTTCCAAGTCCTGAAATTGTTTTCTGTGTTTTCTTTTCTTTTTTTTTTGTGTGTGTGTATGTTGGGTATCCATTTTCTTTTGCCATTTCATTGAGTTTTCTTGCAATCCATGTTTGAAATTCTTCTTCTGTCATTTCAGTGTTCTGATTTTGGTTGTATCTATTGCTAGAGAGCTGGTGTTCCTCTTTTGGGGTGTTCTTTCCATTTGATTCTTCATACTTCCAGAGTTCTTTCACTGATTCCCTCCCATCTGGAGCAGCTATTGCTTTTTACCTTTGGATTTCGTTTAGATAATGACATGCACAGTTTAGTCTCTGAGGCAGTAGGTTATGTTTGTGGGTGAGAGTTGACCACACCCTGTATGATGAATCAGTAGATGTAGCAAAAGGGTACAGAATGGCCTGCCTGTCAGTAGGGGGCACTTACTGGGAGGAGCAAGCTGCAATGTTTTTAGATCCCGTAACCAGCTCTCATTCCTCTGGAGAGTAATTCTAGTGCCTCAGGTGGTAGATAGTGCCCTGGGACTTCAAGGTGTGTCCTTATTCTCCTGCTCAGCATGGGCAGGTTGGGGAAGGAGGCTGGGCAGGGCTGGGTTGGGTGAGCCTGCCCTCAAGCTTCACAGATGCTTTTAACAGAGGTCAAAAGTCTGTTCCCTGCCTCTGGTAAAAGCTTCCAGGGAGGGGCTGACATGGCCTCGTGGGGTTGTCTGAGACCCACAGCCTGGCAGTCTGGAGAAGGCTTTGCTCCTTTCTACCCTCCCCTATTTTGTGGTTTTTCCTGGGCCTCTAACAGCAGGGAGGACCACAAGCCAGCTGAGCTCCCCCTGATGTGATGATAGCCAGGAGGTTCCCTGCCCATGATCATGGGCTGACCTGAGAGCTTGACCCTTTCATTGGTGGAGGGGTGCCCCTCAAGCATGCTGCAGCTAGGACCCACTTTAATCAGCTCCTGAAGGGCTTCTCTCTCTGTCATTTGGTTTTTAAGTGTCGTTTCATAGTCGATTGACTTAATGCTAATCAATCCTCTTCGTGGATAATTTTGTTAGTCTACACACCTGTTCTCTAACTTGAAAGCCTACTATTACAAACGGATGATCTATAAACATGGTTTAATTGTTGATTGATAGGTCTATAGAAAATTATTGGTCAATCTGAGACTTAAACCAAATTCTTATCTCCTGATCAGTGCTAAGTTTAAGTCTCAGGGAGGAATTAATTTTCCTTGTCTACTCCTGAACTGAAAACACACAGAAAGTTAAAATAGACATATCATTACCAAGTTTTTCAGTTTTAAAATTTTTGTTGTATCTGAATGGCCAATAGAAGAATTTCAGCCAATCTCAGTTTACATTTACCTCACAGTCATGATATATTTCTCATTTTGGCTTTGTGAATTTAATTTATAGAGCTCGCGAGAGGTATTTAGTCAGAAAAAAGGCTTTAATGTTTATAATGTTCTAGTATATTTGTGTTATAATTCAATAAGGTTTTTCTTTTTCAGTTCTATCAGGAGGACCATTGCCTCAAGGGCATGAGTTTGAACTGTATGAAGTTAGATTTCACTGGGGAAGAGAAAACCAGCGTGGTTCTGAGCACACAGTTAATTTCAAAGCTTTTCCCATGGAGGTAAGAATAACAAATCATCTTGTAAAAATCTCTTTGTTCAAGTAAAGTGTTCAGTGATTTACTGAAAATGATTTAGTTTAAAAGTAGATGTGTAGCTCTTGAATTTTTATCAATTTATACTAAACTAAACAAGTGCTTATTGCAGTGTAAGCCTGGGGCAGCCAGTGACTCTTTCTATCTACTTTAATGGGCGTGGAGTGTGTGCATGAGCATTCGGTCAAAATGGTAATCTAAGGTATTAAGTTTTATCCTAGTATTATCATTATTATTGCAAAAATTCTGCTGCCTATGCAAATTCAGTAGGTGGCTTTTGTAGGTGTTATGAATAGGTGATGAGTCGAAAACAAATAACTGTTGGAACGACCTCCAGAGTAATGAAAAGTCTAGTTTAGCTAGTTTACAATTGATAGTTTTGTTTTTGTTTTTGTTTTTTTTCACTCTATGGCATTAAGGGAAGGGAGGGAGAAAGGATGAAGGAAAAAGAGATATTTTTAGAGTGATTCTTTTGTATGAAGAATTCCCTTCCCCACTTATCTTTTTTGTTATCTCTGCTCTTTCTTCAATATCCAGTTGAAGTGTGATGTCTGCCATGGGACTTTTTCTGAGTTCCTTCCCTAGGCAGAATTTATTTGTCTCTCTCAGTGCTCCCGGTATACTTGTTAGGTCACTGCTGTGGCATTGGCCCCATGGACTGTAACATTTAGTGTTCAGTGTGTCTTTGTCACTGACTGTGGGCTCCTGAAGACAGGGGATCCCCTTCAGCCCTCTTTACATGCCCACTGCCAGGCATGTTGTAGATAAGCAATCCATGTTGGTGAAATTGCAGAGATGCCCCTGTTGCTCCAGGCCTTGCTGGTATTTCTTTCCACAAGGAACCTTAGTTAACCCCAGGAAATTGCCCTTTGTGGGCAGGAAAGAGTATATTTTGGGGGCTGCTGGAATGCCAATGTTCTTTCTCTGTCATTCCCAACTGCACATATGCTTAATATTAAATATAGAATTGCTCATGGCCAGATACCACATCCTGTACCACCTCAGTGCCTGGAAATCACTACTGTTTAATTTTATATAAGTGATACATGTACTTTGGAAGATTAAGTTGAAATGTTTTTCAGCATTACTTTAATTATAATTAGAAAAAAATCTCTTTGGAAGTTCAAGATATCCCTTTCTTTCAAAAGGACCCAATCCTTAAAAGTAAGATGCTACCAATTTTAAGGCTGGAGAGAAAAACACCAAGTTGTGGTATGTTGAAGAGCCTACGAGCTGTGGGATGGCGAGGGCAGTAAGAAGAGGCAGCTTCTTAGAGGCCTTGTTGGGAAGGCCTTCAATTGGGACCTTTCAAGGAACATTTTCTCGATGCCTGTAGGTGCCTGTTTTTTTCTCCAGTATCATGACAATTCTGTGTCACCTCTGACTTCTGCCCCATCCTCAGCCAGCCTGAGAAAGAAGTTCACACCAGACTGCATCAAAGAGGAGAGAGGACATGAAAGAATTCAAAACAATGAACTCTGGTGGATGGTGGGGGGCAGAGTGAGGGGCAGGACCAGCCTGGATGGTCAAGGCCTCCAACCTGCCCTCTTCTTGGGGTCTGAAAGGCCGTTTTGTCATTTCATCTCAATCAGTCCTCAAAGACAGACCCTAGTAATCCAGAGTTTTAGGGAGAGCTGGGCATAGTCATGTAGGCGAGAACTCTGAGTGGGAATTCCATGGCTTTGCTTATGACACACAGAATTTACAGCCTTGGAAAGCTTATTTAGGTTAGGGATTCAGGGATCCATGCTCTTTGCTCTGCAGTCAGATAGCATTTCTGGACCAAATGTCCAGCCTGGTCTGGCTTCTTGGTGGCCTTTTAACTGCTCTGGTCCATTAAGCACAGGTAATGGTTTGTTTTGAGTGAAGATTAAATTCTGGTAGTGAGGCTTTGTTTCTGCAGAAATATTTATATTTAGGCTAATGGAATTACTGACTATATTTTTTCCAAAATAGGTGATGAATAATATTTATATTCTTTGTTATCCCAGATTATCCCCGACCCAATCCAGAGAAAATCATTCGATGTTTGTTTAAGGCTCATAAGTGCTGTGGGTTTGCAGAATTAGAGAGCTGTGCAAGCCAGGATTGCTTTATTTTTTATGGAGACTGTGAATACTGAGCTGGGTTTTGAGGGTGAGAGGGCTCTTGTGATGTGGTAAAAGAGAGGAGAGAGAGTCTCCATGTGGAAGAACATTCTGGGAATGGGAATGAGTTGGCTAATGCAGAGTTTGGAACTTCTATCAGGGGCCACCTCAGACACAAGGGCATGCCCAGGAAGGCAGTAAAGAGTAAGACCAGGTACCCTTTGGGTAAATGATTTTTTTTCTGAGCACATATTTTGATTATATTTTAAGACTAACTTTAATCTCAAAATCACATGTCTGTGAACCTAATTCCTTTTGTTGATTTCACTTAAAATTAAATGGATGATTTGTGAAACAAACATTAATAAATAAATATTTGCCATTTCTGTGCCATGTAACACACAGGATAAGCTTTTAACAATAATTCATCAACTTCTCTCACTTTTTAAAAATTATCAATATAACAACCCTGAATATTTTTGATACTACTAATAGTTGGCACCAACACTGCTTCAAAAATTAATACAATTTATGACATTAAACAATTTAAACTGCAGCTCTTTCACTGAGCAAGGTGGATAAAGCACTCCTTTGTATTTTTCCTTCTTGGGATTTTTAATTTTCAGAAATACACATGCTTCCACAGCCATGTGACGCTCACCACACTTTCATATTGTAAACCTGAATTCTGTTATGAATACTCCAGATTTATGCTTGAAGAATAGTACCATAACAGAGAAAAAATAATTGTGCTTCATTTTTCCTCCTATTACCCCTAAACATAATGGCCATGCATGTATTAATACATTCTTACATATGTCTGGCTCATGTTTGCAAGCTGGAATTCTTTGACTTAATATGTGGGGATTTTGCATTGTGATATTCAATCAGAGCGTTAACATGAGGAGAAGATTGTTGATTTAAGACATGTTTGAGATCCACTAACATTAATGCTTGTATGTTTATTCTTCTGGTTGCTGTGGAATCTTCTTATTTTCTTTGGACATCCTTAGATAGCTTGTGAAGTCTAACTTTAATGCTTATATGTATTTTTTTACCATTTTTCTAGCACTGGTATACTCCGTGCACCCACCATTCTACTGGAATTGTTTAATCCATTCACATTAATTTTTGTTACAAATCTGAGGCCTCTGGGTATTTAGGCTCACAGGTCCACATTCTACTTTCAGACTATATATTCTTTTTCTGTAATTTTTCTGTGGACACTGCCATCTTTTCTCCATCAAAGTAACCTAACTCTGTGGTCTGTTTAATTCTTGGTAAATTGTGATTAATCTTTATACATGAATAGGTACTTTCATAATTCCAGGGAGAGTACTTCCTAGGCATTTAGATTTTATGCTGGGTCAATAAAAAAAAAATGTAAGTGATGAGGAGACCAACAGTGTAGCCAAGTTTTAATCTTTCCAAACAAGAACATTACTAACTCTCTGCTGTCCCTATGATTTTATAAAGAGAGGATCTTTAATAGCCAAATGTAAGACGATATGATCTCAGAATAATGCCTGGACCCATAAATTGATTAGATTTAGCCTTTTAAGAACTTACATTATTTCTGGTTTTTTTACTTCACTACAGATGAACGATAGTTTTGTCAGGCGTAGGCACTGATACTGCCCACAGACTAGTGGGAGATAGTGTGTGGTGAGTCCAACTTTCTTGCCCTTTGGGCCTATGGGTCTGTGATTTAAGAGTGAATTGTCAAGGAAGAGATCCATCAATTATTGTGGGCCAGAACCTTATTTTTCTTTAGATTGTATTTCAAGACCAGCTATTGGCTCTGTAAGTACTGAAAGGGCTCAGTGATAATTGATCCACATACCAGCTGTTAATGAAAGCTGAGCACATTAAGTAAATGGAAAGAAAAATGTTCATTGTACAGAGCAGAATTCCTTAATTGTGAGGAGTCCAAGCCTTGGTGGTAAAATAGGCCAACAAAAATATTTTGAAGACTATATCTTACAGTGCTAATCCTGAATGTTACATTTGTCCCCTTTCAGCATCTCCCAGCTCCCCCCAAAAAGTGTACCAGGTCTCCAGATATCCTACATTTTTTCTTTTCTTTTCAGGCAAATGTTGGTGTTTACCAGTTGAGTGTTCTCTTAGTAAAAATGAATTGGTCTTTAGGGTTGCTGCCTCCCAAGTCATTTGCTTATCCACCTGACAAGAAAGGCATTTATTTTTATTCACTTGTTTTACTACTATGAGGAGTTCCCAGGAAGAGTTTGCCTAGTTACTGGTGAAGTTATGACTTTTTCAAGTTATTTTACTTCTGGGAACATCTCAAGTAGACCTTCATCTTTGTGATTATCTTCTGAAATAGGCACTTCCACTGACTTTCCAAGGAAATGTAGTCGGATGGGTTTAGTGAGACTGAACGTTATGAAGATTACTGTATAAGATACATAGTTAAAGAAATTTAGATTTAAAAATAACTTTTGAGATTATCTAGTCCAAACTCCTATCTAACGTAGAATAAATCTGATGGTCCAAAAGGTTAGGGGTCGCAGAGTAAGTTATAGGAAACCACATGTATGGCCTGGGTGAAGAAGAGTATAGTTTGGTCAAATAGTCTGTTTAGGAAAGAAATTTTCCTCTACTAGTGCTCTTACTGCTGATGGTTTAGCTGGAAAGAGAGAATACAATGGGCTTTGTCCTTGCACCCCTTGCCCCTGTGAGGGGAGTTTATATTTGCAAGCTCCGTGTTCAGAGGGAGGCATGGTTTAGCCTTGCACAGAAGAATGATAGTGAGACCGCAGCACCCTGCTCTTACCTTAAAGGTTTATGAAGGCAAAAATCAGAGTGGCATTGTGAAGGTAAAGGAATGGAAGGTGGAATCCTTGCTGCTCCCTGAGAACT